GACACAGCCATGAAGCGGTCTATGACCAGACACTTCGAGTCACCAAACAAAGACCTCCAAGGCATTCCGCAGTCGTTTCATTACTTGCATCCCGACCAAGCTTGGGCCGCATGACCCCCCAGATGATGTAGTCATTTGGAGCGGCGAGCGGGGTTCCTACGGGGCACAGTAGTTGGTCGAGAATACCCAGACTGGCTAGACCAGCGAAGCGCACGGAGAATTGCCAAGGTGGCTCAGACCAGGCGGATGGGCGCGTGCAGTGGCTGGCCAGGCTCTGGATGCTAGTGTTTTTGGTCTAGACGATCCGCATCCGCTATCGGAGGTGCACGCGCTCGCGCTTGAGCCCCGCATCTTCGAGAATCAGGACATCTGGTTACAACGCGACGGTACACTGGCGATCACTTTCCGCCCCAAGTGGAGCGATGCTCACCAAATCATGCGGCGTTCTGCGTCGGGAGTGCAGCGCGCGCAGGCGTCGTAGACGCTGGTCTATGACCGACGTTTCGCGGCCCTCCAAGTCTATCGCGAGTTTGGTTCGGCCTGCGTCGATTGGGCAAGTCGGCATCACGAGCTGTGCCGCCTGCCCAACGAGGACATCGGTGATGGGCTGGCCTCCGCGGAGCAGAAAGCCGCGCTGTGCGCGCCTGACTTCTGGGGCGACGGGCACCTCCAGTTCGGCGACGATTGTCGCAATTGGATCGGGGCGCTGACGTGTTCCGCGCGTCGGGCTACCGCGCAGCGCGGGGCCCGCATTTCCGACGCCAGTTCTATCAAGCCGAAGGTCGTCTACAAGGATATCGGCCTTAGAATGAGGGCTCGCTCGGACTATGTCCGCTACCCAGGGGCAAAGAGATGGGCCGGGGCAGATGCTGATCGTGCACAGGCAAGGACGCACAGCAAGTGGAAAGGGGTTGATGCTGAAGGCATGGCCCTGCGCAGAGACAACGCCCTACAAGGTAAGACTGCTTATAGCAGTAACGTCATGACCGTCTTTCCCTGGTTACCCACGTCACTGGGCGACGAATTACCTGCGCCGCAGAACCCCACGTAAGCTCGAGAAGACGAGGATGTTGACTCGGAGGTGGATCAAGTTCCAGAACTCCCACCTTGGCACGCTGGCAACAGGGAAATGCGCGGTGGTTCATCCAAAAGAATGGTGGCCAGACATCAGCAGGAGGGTGATGAGTGAGAACGGCTATGCCATACTGAACCCCTTCGACTGGGACTACACCCTTCCGGCTGAGCGCTACCAAGAGGAACCGAGCTGTGCATGGTCTGCATGGTGCATGGCGGCTCCAGGAACGAAGGACATCGAGCCGCTCGCCAGTCTGAAGGCTGCCATGGCGGTGGAGATTGCGGACTACTGGCCGCGGGCAGAGTTCCGTAGGGCCCCTATGCCTAAGGCGCGGGCTACGCGCGCGGGCGCGCCAGCCGACCTGTGTCGGGGCTGCTGCACCGTCTCGCGAGCCATCTGGCAAGGCGCCCGGCGGCCGCGCTCCGCGAAGCCTGAGGGCCGCTCTGCGGCAGCAAGGACGGGGGACGGCGCAGCGGGCAAGGGCGAGGACAACGACAGCAGCGGCAAGGAATCCAAGAGGCCAAGCAGCCGAGCGCCGGATGACCAACAGGAATCCAGGCGGCGCCGAGCTGAGGACCCAACGCGGCGGGGCACGCCCCACAGTGCGGGAGCAGCCTCTTCGAGTTCAATGCTAGCTGCGCGGCCTCCTGCGGCCCTTGACTTTCGATCTCGGGATGCCCCGTGGCGCGCCAAGGCTGATGCCTCGCGGCGCAGGGCGGATGCGGACAGGAGGTGAGATCGCCCATGGCGCGCGCGCGCCGACGCGGAACCGCTTCCCACGGATTCTTCCAACCCGTGGCAGGGAGATGCTGCGACTTGGTGGTCATCGTGGACAGCTGGTACAATGGCGGCTGTGGTCCACGTGCTCACACGCGAGGGTGCGAGGAAGAGAACGAGGGGGGAAGGCGGCTAGGAAGATGGTACCCCTTCGAGATTCATGTTTGCGGCTCAACTACGTCAGTAAGGGATGGTTTGAGTCGCCGTGGCACAAAGGTGCTTTGCGCCGCGCCTGTGGCACGCCGATCCAGACAGTTGGAGAACTGTCCGCCGGGCGCCGCGTGTCCAGACGCTCGCGTGAAAAGTCGGGGCGAAACCGAAATCAGCTTCGTCCGCCCGCGCGAGTGGAGCTCGCCGGGCCAGCCGCAGGGGGAGTTGATTTATTCACCCCCCCGTGCCCACTTCTGACCCACAGTTTCGACGCAGCTGTTGTGGGTTGGCTCAAGTAAAAAGAGCGCGGCCCGCCCGCCCGGCGCGCGCGCCCTCCCGGGCCGGCCGGGCGCGCATCCCTGGCCGGTCGGCCTCCTGACAATTTGTTGCTAGCCCAAGCTTAACGGACATTACCATGCCCATCCGGCCATGGCGGTGAGAGACACATCAACCACACTGAATATGTACCCGAGCAAGAGACTACTACAGGAAGAAGACGAGGGAGAACAATTACGATATGATCGTGATACCATTATGCCTATCATCACATGCGTATAAAACGCCCATAGCATCAATGAGTTAGCAAAATATTCAGTTGTTACGAGCTTTCCAGACGAATGTGCGCGGTGCTAAGGTGAGAGCCTCATTTTGGAATCAATCCCCCTCCATCCTTGGAGCTGTGGCATGCTGTCGAGGCGAGGGCGCGAGGAGCTGAAGCGCGAGCCTCATTTCGAAACAACTCCCAATCCGCGCGTGTAGAAGTTGCAAGCCTGAGGCTGCAGGATCATACACGGTGAGGAAGCGTCGGGCGAAGCCCCTGGCTTGCCGTCCCTACCAGCCTGTCTGGGGGTGCGACAAAGAGAAGTTATTTGTCAGGGCGAGGGACGGATGATGAGGTGGAGTAGGAGGAGGGCGAGAAGAAGAAGGGTTAGGAGGAGGAGTGCGAGGAGGAGGCAGAGGAAGCATGACGCAGCATGACCGGCATTCGCTCAAAGTGGGCCTCCGGACCCGTCCTGGGGCCCATCGAGGCAAGTTCTTTCTGCTGCGTTCAGCCGTGGCGACGAGAACTTTCAGCAACGTCCAGGAGGAGGAGCAGGATGAAAAGGATCAGGAGGAGGCGCAAGGCATGAAGCTCGGTGCAAGCCGCGGTCCGCCGGAAGGGCGGTCCACGCTCGGCGCGGGCATCGAGCCAGAACGCCCGGAGGGCCGGGCCGTCGTTCTCGAAGGACCACGGGCACCGCGGGCCTGCCCCTCGGTCAGGCCCAGGCCTTGGGGCACGTAAAACCTCCCGGCTTCAGGCCCAGCGTATGGTGACGTCGGAAGCCAACGGCCGAACCAATCCAGAGTAAGCGCATCGGCGGCCGCTCCGGGGTTCTCTTCGTGCCCGCCTCCGCGAGCACGCCGCGGAGCAGGGTGTCGGCCCGGCGGAGGCCGCGCTGCCCACGCTCCGCCTCGTTCAAGCCGTGAACCCGACCTCGCTCGTGAGCTCGTCCGCCGACTTGCCGCAGGGCTTCTGCATCTGACCGTACATCGACAAAATGTTGCACCGGGTTTGCCGCACTCTGACACGTCTGTTTCACCGGGCATTCCCCCGCTCACATGGTCTTAGAACTTATTACTTGGCGCATGACGGAGAGCTTTTGAGCCCCCCACGGGTTCCGACATAATGTTGTACCACCGAGCTCAGCGACTAGCCCAGACCGAACCCAATATTAAGGTAGGGGGAGGGGGGTGGCAGACAGACGTCGGATATCAAAGCGATGCGCTCTATTGTCCGCGCCAGGTGGTGCATTGTGTTGTCGATGTACCGAATCACCAGGCTTTCTCCCGAACTTCTCGATGGGCGCCTCGCTGCCCTCCTCCAGCCCTTTAACGCCGTTACGGTCGTGACGGCCGAAGTCGCCACCCGCGAGCGTTTTGCGCCGACCATCGTTGTCACTTCGCGGTGTCGCTGGCCGCGGCGTCTACCGTGGCCTCCTCCGCGATCTGCCCAGGCACTCCTGGGGCCGCATTGTCCGCCTCGGCCTCGGCCCCTGCGCCGTGCTAGCATGCTGGTCGCCACGCCCAATCAGCGGGGCATGGTCGATCACGTCGGACTCCTCCTGCTCTTGTGTGACCCGGACCCAGCTGGTGCTGGTGCATGTCTGCCCCCTGAGTGCGTCGAGCACCAGGTCAAGCTCCGACTCGGCGCCGGCTGCCGTGAGCGCATCGCCCTCGCTTGCGCTGTCACTGACATCATAGTGCATCTCCTTCCCCAGGTAATTTGGTGGCCTGGGCGGCCGTCGAGCCTCCAGCTGGCCCGTTTAGCGTCTGCTTCTGCTGTCCTGGCCCCTTCAGCCGTCCTCGCTCCATCCTTGCGCCAACCAGGCACTCGAGCTCCCCTTGGTGCCCTTGGCCGGGCCCTCCTTCTCCACACCGTGGAGGAACTGGTTCCTTGAGTTGTTTTGCTGTCGTGGGGCTCCTGGGAGGCTCGGGGCCGTCAGACGATGACCCAGGATGACCCGTTTCCACCAGGACTCCTGTCCAGCAAACCAAGATGAAGGTGACGACGACGATGGGGGTGGTGATCGTTATTGACAGGTCAATTGAGGACAATTGCACTCCTAATGCATGGTTGGTGGGTGGCTTGTCTCATTGTGTATCCACCTTGCCCCATCATATATTATTGTATCCTGCTCCCTGCGCTCCTATGCCAGATTGTTGTTCGATGCAGCCACGCGGATCGAACTCGATACTCTTTGCTTTTTCCCATTTCACCTTAACGTACCTCCCATTCTTCTCTTACGTCGTTTGCCTGCGCGGCTTGCTTCCCTCACGATCGATGGCATTGTTTCCGCCAGAGGCCACTGCAATGTCTTGGACAATGGTTTCGGACGTTGTCCAATATGTACGTCTGTCTGGCAGTGTGTTTCGTGTTGTCGAGGCGCAGCTGGGGGATTTCCAGAATCACATCCCGCTGATGTCGATAATCCCCGCTCCGATGCTGCACGTAGCAATCATGACCACACAGATTGACAATAACCTTGGACAGGAAGAGCCGTCCTTACGTGGCCTCACCCCCTTGGAAGCAAGCCAGGTGGGCCTCATCTGGCGCATTTGCAAACGCATTTCGTGGACAGCCGGCGGACAGAGATGGGACGACTTCGTGGACGTGGATCCGTTCCAAGCGCCTGCGGCGCGTCCGGCTGCGGCCGGGTCTGGGGCAGCGCCGGCGGCGGCCCCGGCGACCAGGGACAAGGTCGTCAAGTTGTCCGCTGTCCTCGACCAGGGCGACGATGGCGAGGTGCGGGTCGCCGATGCGTCTACGTCTGCCCAGTGGCACGCCAACTACCAGCAGCAGGTCCTCGCCGCTCCGGCGGAGGACGCGGAGCCTTCGGTGGAGCAGCTCACGGCCTTGGACCACAGGGCGAACGGCCGCGGCTGCTCGCCGTATGCTGACTTCGCGCTGTGGGGGCCGTTCGCCCGCAAGGGCGTGCGGGCCGCGAAGTTCCGCGCCCGGTACCCGACCGGCGACGGCACCTGCGGCCAAGGAGCTCCCCGGCCCGGGGAACCTGCAGCACTGGGAAGCGGCATGGAAGGTGTTCGCCACTGCTTGCATCATGCTCATGGCTGTGGCCCGCTCTGCGCTCGAGCACTACGCGGAGAAGATCCGCAAGCTCGTGCACCTATGGCCGGAATGTTGGCATCTCATTGCCACGGCGGACGACCAGATGCGCGCACAGCACATGGTCCGCCTGAAGCGCCGCTACGAGGCCAAACTGGCGGCCGGCGGGACGCCCGCTCCAGACTGGAACAGCGCAGCGCCCTGGTCCACTGTGTACCGCCTCGCGGCCGACGACGAGGCATTCTGGGATGCTCACGTGCGGCGCCCGGCGGCTGCGTGGGTGGCGCGCGGCGGTCGCGGCGTGCTGCTCGCGCCTGAGGAGGCGGTGGCCTTGGCCCACCTGCCCGGTGGCCTCGCGGCCATCACGCCGCCGACAGAGCAGCGCCCCCCCGCGACGGGCAAGCGGCGCAAGACCGGCCCGCAGCAGCAGCAGCAGCAGCAGCGCCCCCAGCAGGCGTCGGGAAACGGGGGCCCCCCGTCGACTGCCCACGGCAGCTCGGCGGGGGGGCCGCGCAAGCAGACGAACGACTCGCAGAAGGCCCAGGGGCCCGAGGTGTGCAAGAACTGGAACCAGGGCAACCCGGCGAACGAGTGCGGCAAGCTGGGCGCGCCCTCGACTTGCCCGAAGGGCCGGTTGCACAAGTGCGCCAAGTGCGGCGATGCCTCGCACAAGGCGCCGGACTGCCGGCGCCGCTGACCCCGGCTCCGGGGTCGCCGGGCGCTGTCGCTAAGGCCCCCGACAGCGCCCTGATCCGTGTGGGCCAGTGGGGCAACGCCTTGGTCAGGCGCCCCACCAGCGCCGGCGCGGCAGCCGGGCAGCCGGCCGCGCAGCCAGCCCTCGCGGAGGTCGCGCGCCCCGCACCGACGGCCGCGGCCCCGGCCTCCCGGCAGGAGCGCCGAGAGCAGGAGAACCATCTCTGCGTTGGTGGCCTGCGCTCAACGGCGGCCTCCGTGGCGCGCCAGCCGCGCCTCTGCGCCCTCGGCAAGGAGGTGGCCGCCCTGTACGACGACTGGGTTTCGGAATACCCGGAGGCGGCCGCAGTGGTGCAGCGCTTCGGTGACAAGAGTTACACCGGCCCAGGCAGTGACCTCGTCGAAGTCTGGAGATCCCGGCTGCGCGAGCATCTCAGCGCCCCGCCAGAGGGCCAGACGGCTCACGAGTGGGGGCGGCCCTCGCCGCTGCAAGCGGAGCTGCTGCACGCGTGGCTGCAGGCCGGCGGGGGCCCCGAGATCTGCCTCCGGGATTGGTGCCAGGTGGGCGCGCCGCTGGGCGTGGAGGTGCCCATCCCCACCTGCGGCATATTCCCCGCCGTGCCCGCGGCGGAGAGCGCTGGCACCGCCGGTAGATTGGACTTAGCCCTGGCGCAAGGCGTGTTCAATTACCAGTCGATCTCCGACGACCCCGAGGGCTCGGCGGCGGAGGTGCACCGCTATCTGGAACAGGACTTCGCAGTGTCGCTTCCTGAGCCCGTTGCCCAGCAGAGGTTTCCCGGTGGCTCCATATCCCGAATGGCGCTCATCACCAAGGAGAAACCAGACGGGGGCGTCAAGCGGCGCATCATTGTTGACCTCAAGCGGAGCAGGCCGACGCCGGTCAACAGCCGCGCCCGGGTCCCAGAACGACCGGTGCTCCCGCGGATGCGCGACCTCATCCGGGACACCCTGGCGCTGGTCCACGGCGCGGCGCCCCCTGGCAGTGCCGACCCGGCGGTGGATTTAGAATTCGCCATCGCCGATTTTTCGGACGCCTACATGCATCTGCGGACGCACCCGGATGAGCTGCGCCACTGCTTGTCGCCGGATGTGGTGCCGGGCCGCCTGCTGCTGTGGATCACGCTCTGCTTCGGCCTCTCTGGTGCCCCGCTCATCTGGTGCCGCGTCGCAGCCGCGCTGGCGAGGCTCGTGCAATCTTGCGTGGACCACCGCCAAGCCAGAATGCAGCTGTACCTGGACGACCCCATATGGGCACTCTTGGGCACGAAAGCGCAGCGCGACAGGCAGCTCGGCCTCGCACTGCGGGTGCTCATCGGCATGGGTGTCCGCATCGCATGGCACAAGGCAGTCCGGGGGAGCGCAGTCGTGTGGATCGGGGCCTCCATAGTGGCAGACGTCGCCGCCCGGGAGATCACCGTGTCCATCCCGGCCAGCATGGTCGCGGAGCTTCTGGCCTCCCTCGAGCTCCTGGCCTCTGGGGCAATGGTCAGCCTCAGGGAGCTCAAGCGGTGCACAGGTAAACACTCCTGGGTTGCAGGCCTGCTCCCCCGCATCCGCTGGGCCGTGTCCATCATGTACGCGGTCGCTGCCTCCGCAGAGGGGGACATCCGCTCCGGCGCCGAGGAGCGCAGACGTCTTCGCAGAGAGGACCCGCGCCCCAAGCACGGTCTGGTGGCGGCCAAGCGGATCGCCTTGCCTGTCCGTTGGCTCACGGCGCTCTGGTGCGACATGCAAGGGCCAGTGACCCGGCGCATATCTTGGGTGCGCTCCCCGCCAGCCACCGTCGTCATAGTGGACGCTTCTCCCTGGGGCTTGGGGCTGGTCTTGGCCCACCTCGCATCCGGCAGGGTCTTGGAGTACGCCCACAGCGACGTGCTGGATGACGACGAGACGCTCCTTCTTGTCCACCGGGGCTCATCCAGCTCGCAGCAGGCCTTGGAGGCGCTCGCTCTCCTCGTCGCCCTGAAACTGTGGGGTCGCTTCATGCGGGCTTCCTCGACCACAGTGGACCTGCGCGGCGACAACTCCGCTGCCCTTGCCCTCGCAGGGAAGCTGTCCAGCTCATCCCCTGTGACGAATTTGATCGGGGCCGAACTGGCGCTCGAATTGGAGAGCCTGGACGTCCGGGATGTACAGCCCACGCACATTCCAGGTCATTGGAACGTCGCGGCCGGTTGGCTGTCCAGGCGTTCTGCTCCCGGGAGCGCCGCTGCAGTGCCCGCGGAGAACTGGTCGGCGCGAAGGCCCGGCCAGTGCCCGCCCGGCCTCGCTCATACTACCGACTGCCCCCCCCCGGGGGCCCAGCCGGAGCTCTGGGCAGCAACATCGGGCGCCAGCGCATGGGCAACAGTTGCCGCCAGTGTCTGAACGGCTCGTCGCGTGCTTCGACAGAGGGGTGATTTTTTTCGTTTTGCAGCAGAGGGGTGATGTTTTTTTGCAGTTTTTTTGCCATGTTCCACCGCGCCTCCCCGAGGCACGCCCCGTGTCATGTTACTGTCACGTGTGCGATCGGGAAAAATGTGGGTCGTTCACCTCCCCTCGCTCTGCTTCGCTGCTCAAAGGCCCGGTCCCCGACCGGCCGCCTCACAGAGCGGGCTGGCGCCGACGGCTGGGGCGAATCTCCCACGGCACGGGGCGCGAAGATATCCCCCCTCCTCCGCCCTGTCCTCCTCCTTTCCCTTTTTCCTCGTTCCTCCCCGTCCCTCCCCTCCTCCGCCTTGCCCTGTCCTTCTGCCCCCCTTGATAGTGAAGCGCGAAGATTTTCGCGCGCCAGGGTCGTGGTGCTCTTGCCCAGGATCCCCTCTGGGCCTCTGCCCCAACCAGTGTTGGCCCTCGGCCAGCCTTCGGCGCGCGCCCCCGGCACAGCGCTTCGGCTCCAGGGCAGATCGATTTCACCTTTTCTCCCTCTCCTCCCCCTTTCCTTTCCCTCCCTCTCCCTCCCTTCCTCTTTTTTCGTTCCACTTCCTCGTCGCCCTCCTCCGGGACTCGCCTTCGGCCGGCCGCTCCGGCGGTGGGACCCGCGTCGCGAAGATCTGGCCGCGTGCGAAGTTAATCGTCTTCGTCGCTCGCCCCTTGGATCGAGTCCTCGGCGAGGCGCAGCGGGCGGCCGTGGCCTCACTCGTGAGGCCTCCTTCTGGTCTTCATGAGGCGTACGTCGCCGTTGGGTCCCTGTGCCGCCCGAGCCATGCGTTCAGTAAGCTCTCGGCGAGGCGCATGGGGCTCCTGGCTCGGGTTCTGCTTCAGGGCCGAATGGCACGCTACGAGTGCCTTGTGTCTCTGATTGTGCTCTCGGCGAGGCGCACGCGTCCGTGGTGCCTGGCAGCTGTCTCTGTTAGCTCTCGGCGAGGCGCATGGGGCTCCGGGCTCAGACACTGCGTCGGAGCCGAATGGCACGCCGAGTGCCATGCTTACGTCTTTGTTTGAACCCTCTGCGAGGCGCACGCTTGCCTTGATCAAAGGTGCCGGCCGAATGGCACGTCAGCGAATCCCAATCGTTGCTGTTTCAGCTCTCGGCGAGGCGCATGCTTGTATGGAGCCAAGTTGCCGTCGCAGCCGGAGCGGCACGTGAATGAGAGAATTCTCATCTATTGATCCTCCGTTGTAGTTTCGGCTCCATTCGCCATGAGCGATCGTCGCAGTTCTGGGGACGCGCCCCCCAGAGGCCCGCCCAAACGCCCTCGGTACGCCTCACGCTCGGGCACGCCGCCCGCGCCGATTCCGGCACGGTGGAGCAATGTGCGGGCGGGCGTGCCAGCCACGAGTGTGGTCACCCACGCTCCTGTGATCCCATGTCTGGCTCCGGGCGCGTCCGCGAGCGGCTCACTGCCGAGATTCGTGCCGCTGGCGCAGCCGCGCGGGAGATCACCACACTGCATCCTTTCCCAAGGAGCCGGTCAGTTGGTGCAGCACCCCAGCCAGGAGGGCAACGTTGACATTGGAGCTAGTGGCGTCGATCTTCAAAGACGTGACTTCCCTAGGCCTCCACTTCCAGATGCTGGTCACACCAGGGGCTCCATCAACGCAGCTTTGTCCATAGCGGGCGACCCGGTGCGCCTCGCGAGTGCTCTGGGTGCTCTCAGACAAGATTTCTATGCGAATTCTTCCCGCGAGGCAGTCTCCCGCAAGCGGGCTGACGTGTGCAGATTGGCCGAGCAGGCGGCGTCGTCCATTCCGGACGTATCTGCGCCTTTCCCTCTGGTGGTCGCCGTCGTGCATGCGGTTGCTGCGGCTCTCAAGGGAGCTCGGTTCAAGTCTGCGGAACAATACCTCAACGAGCTGCGGCTCGAGCACATCGAACGCGGCGCACCTGTATCGCAGCAGCTCGCTCGGGTATTCGACCAGTGCAAGCGGTCAGTCCGACGAGGCATTGGCCCGAAGTCCAAGGCCGCTGAGTTGCGGGAAGACGGGCTTCGGCCGACTGATGTCTTGGAGTCGTTGCAAGGCATTTCTGGTCATGACTTGGCCTCGCCGTGGCGCGCCTGGGTGGTAGCCACGCGCTTCCTGCTCAGGGAGATCGAACTGGCGGCAGCAAGGCTTGCGCACGTCGACTTTCCCTCGGCCGGGAGCGTGCGAATGCGCCTTCCCGTGTCGAAGACCGACACCTGGGGGGCTGGCGCGGCTGTCACACTGAAATGCACTTGTTTGCTGGGCCCCTTCGACAAGGTTTCGTGCCCCGTGCACATTTTGGTGGAGCACCTTGAGGCGCGACGTCGCGTCACTGGCACTCGCGCCCAGGACGCGCGCGAGCTGGAAGAGCCGCTTTTCCCAGACGTCGCCGGCGGCACGGTGTCCAAGGCCGCCGTCATCCAGGGTTGGCAACGCCTCGCGGTCGACGGGCACCCTGTGCTAGGAGGCCATTCTGCGAGACGGTCTGGCGCCAAACGTTACGCGCGATCCCTATGGCCGCTCTCAAGCATCCAGACGGTCGGACGCTGGGCTTCCTGCGCGGTGTTGGAATACGTTGAAGAGGCGCTGACTGAGTTGCCGCTCGACGGCCAGGGCCGCACCGCGAGCTCTTCTTCAGAGCCGCCTCCAGAGGCACAGCTCGAGCCACTTGCACGGCGCGTCGCCAACCTGGAGGCCTCGATGCAATCGCATGCAGAGGCACGGGGTCTACCGACCTCGCGGCTGCCGGAGGTCAAGATCTCCGCGCCTCCGGCAGGTTGGTCCCGATGGGTCCGGTCAGAGTCCTCCGGCACCATCCACGCCGTCGCGAGCCCGCCGGACACGCCGTTGCCGTCGTGGCGCACCTGGTGCGGCTGGCGTTTCGGCTCGTCCGCGAGCCTTTCGACCTTCCTCAGCGAAGCGCCCGCGCCCGACGGAGCCAACCTCTGTCGAAAGTGCCCGTCGCCCTATCAATTTGCTCTCTCAGTCGCCGCGGCTTCGCCAGGTGGTGGAGATTGCGTCGCCTGAAGACTGAGGGCCGCCGCCGCTGGCGCGCTCCTGCTACTCGCCTCCATGAGGCTGATGGTTCACGCCCCACGGGCCGGGATCATCTTCGGGTCTTCCCATCGCCTCCACGAGGCTGGCGGCCCACGCCCCAAGGGCCGGGGCCGCCTCTCGGGTTGCACCTTCGCCTCCACGAGGCTGGTGGTCCACGCCCCACGGGCCGGGACCACCTTGGTCTTCCCTTCGCCTCCACGAGGCTGGCGGCCCACGCCCCACGGGCCGGGGCCGCCTCCTGGGTTGCACCTTCGCCTCCACGAGGCTGGCGGTCCACGCCCCACGGGCTGGGCCGCCTCCCGGGTTCCCCCTTCGCGCCTCCACGAGGCTGATGGTCACGCCCCACGGGCTGGATTCATCTGCGGGGCTTCCCCCTTCGCCTCCACGAGGCCGGCCCCGCGGGCCCTCATCGTCCTGCGCGGTGCAGTCGTTTCACTCAGGCACAACGGACTTGCCGAGCACGCAGGACGCGGCGCACTGATGTACAAGAAAAGTGCCCGCCTATCTCCTCAAGGGTGGCAGGGTGGGATTGCAGGAAGGGAAGTGCGTGTCCGTTATTAACAGGTCAATTGAGGACAATTGCACTCCTAATGCATAATTGGTGGGTGGCTTATCTCATTGTGTATCCACCTTGCCCCATCATATATTCTTGTATCCTGCTCCCTGCGCTCCTATGCCAGATTGTTGTTCGACGCAGCCACGCGGATCGAACTCGATACTCTTTGCTTTTTCCCGCCCGCCCTCCCGCAATGGGAGTGGTGGTGGAGATTGCGTCGCCTGAAGACTGAGGGCCGCCGCCGCTGGCGCGCTCCTGCTACTCGCCTCCATGGGGCTGATGGTTCACGCCCCACGGGCCGGGATCATCTTCGGGTCTTCCCATCGCCTCCACGAGGCTGGCGGCCCACGCCCCAAGGGCCGGGGCCGCCTCTCGGGCTGCACCTTCGCCTCCACGAGGCTGGTGGTCCACGCCCCACGGGCCGGGACCACCTTGGTCTTCCCTTCGCCTCCACGAGGCTGGCGGCCCACGCCCCACGGGCCGGGGCCGCCTCCTGGGTTGCACCTTCGCCTCCACGAGGCTGGCGGTCCACGCCCCACGGGCTGGCCCGCCTCCCGGGTTCCCCCTTCGCGCCTCCACGAGGCTGATGGTCACGCCCCACGGGCTGTATTCATCTGCGGGGCTTCTCCCTTCGCCTCCACGAGGCCGGCGGTTGGGCCCAACGGGCCCTCGTCGTCCTGCGCGGTGCAGTCGTTTCACTCAGGCACAACGGACTTGCCGAGCACGCAGGACGCGGCGCACTGATGTACAAGAAAAGTGCCCGCCTATCTCCTCAAGGGTGGCAGGGTGGGATTGCAGGAAGGGAAGTGCGTGTCGTTGATGTTGATGATGGTGGTGATGATGGAGGCGGCGAAGATGATGATGATGATGATGATGATGGTGGTGGTGGTGATGATGATCATGTTGTTGATGCTGGCGATGATGATGGTGATGATCATGCTGATGCTGATGATGGTGCGCATGATGACGATGCTGATGATGCTGGTGATGATGATGATGATGGTGGTGCTGCTGCTGGTGATGATGATGCTGATGCTGATGCTGATGCTGATGCTGAACATGATGAGGATGATGGTGCGCATGCTGATGCTGATGACGCTGATGCCGTTGATGACGCTGGTGCTGACAATGCTGATGATGACGATGATACTGATGCTGATGCTACTGTCGAGGTTATGATGGTGATCTCGATGATTATCATTAGTATTGTTATTATGATGTTGCGGATGATGATTTTGGTGGTGGCGATCATGATGTTGTTGATGTTGGTGGTGATGATGCTGCTAATGATGATGTTGATGATGATGAGGGTAGTGATGATGCGTTGCTGATGACGGTGCTGATGATGATGGTGGTGATGATGGTGGTGGCCAGAGGTAGTGATGATTCTTAGGATGGCGG